ATATATATTTATTTTATTTTAGTTGAAATTTAGACCAAGAGCATATTGTCTTTGGTAACATAGTGTAGGATGGTTTCCAAGTCATCATCTTTTCATCTGAATATTTAATAAGAGGTGTCACGTATGAGAAGACTTGGCATACCTCTTTGAGATCACACTGTGCTGTGCTCTCATTGCCTGATAGAGCTGGAACAGCTAACTGTAGAGAGACACTTGCCTGTAAAGACTTTGAACAGTTATGTGGAAGGTGAAAAATGGATATAAAGTTAGTTTAATTTAGTTGTGGGGTGTGTATGCATGCTGGGCAGCAAGGCTGTTCTCCAGGGGTGGAGAAACAACACAGGCCGGTGTGGATTATCAGATTTCCATCTATCTGATATATAGACCTGAAATCTTGGAGTCACAATTTCTGTTATTTGTTTACTCTTGGTCTAAAGAATGTCAAAAGATGTAGGCAAGCTAAAGAAAAGCTCTAAAGAGCTCCCAAATTCATTTTGCTTGTGGTGCGTAGCTAGGGAGAGCTGTCACAGTGGGAGAGTGAGGGTCAGTCTTCCCATTCCCAGTGGTGGGTGCATGAATTCATGAGTCTGTCTGTGGTTTACTTTCTATGTGAAATTAGTTTGATGCCTTAGACAGCAGAGGAGGAGGAGGCTACTGAGATAACTAAGAAGAAGGGAGTGATGTGCTAGCTGAGTTAGGGCAAATGAAGATTGAGAGCATAGTGAGATGGACACTGTAGTTAGAGAAGCGTATTTTTCATAGACAGAAGTAGCATTTGTCTGACTTGCGCTATCTTTCCTATGACTGAATTTCTCATGGAAAGTCATTGGTAGTTGGGGCAATTAAGTTGGATTGTTTCATAAATGATCCTGCTGTCATTTTGCTCACAACGTGGTCATTAGCCTGTTAAATGACACAGCCAACCTGAACCTGCATTTTCAGTGCACTCTACTTAGTCTCTGGTGGCTAGTCAGGCCCATCCAGCAAAGCTTGTATGTCCAAGGCAAGCAAAACAGCCTGTAGAAGTACATCTGGGAAGTACTGTTACCATAATAGTAAAGAAAATATTTTACAGACCCATAAAATACTGCTATTAGTTGTTGATATGACTATTTCAACATTATTGGGGATGTTTCATGTATCTGTGTTGGTGCACAGAATTGAATACTTGGGATGATCCTTAGGGATGGAACCCATACCTGGTGAACTTGCTCGCTGTAGGAAACCTCTGTGATCTGCAGTAAGGTAGTGGATATACTTCAAAGGATATTAAGAGAGAGATTGTCAGTTTTCTTAACAAATGATCTATGTGGTAAGTGTCCAAGGACAGGAAATACATGTCTATTTTCATTTGACTTATTTAATGGGTACCTTTTTGTGGGAGTTTTTGCTTAGGGTATTTTTTTTTCTTTCCTTTTTCAGTTTTCTGAGGAAGTGGTGGTTTTAAGAAGGCATTTTAAAGAGGTTTTTAAAAGAGGTTGTTGTCCTTGCTGTGTAGGAGTGTTCTGTGTGGGTACAGAGAGCAGGATAAACTACTTCATCCTCCTGTGGTCTCACTGCAAAGAAAAATCCTGAGCCATAGGCACTGGGAATTCAATCAGTTGTGGCCATTATCTAGATGCCACAGGCTAGGAGCAGTGTGCTGTCCCCTGCACCCTTATTTTTGGACTTCAGAGCTGAAAAAGATCATAGGCTTCTTGCAGCCAGAACATCTTACTAACAAGTGGGCTTTTCAGTGGTCAGTTTGCTAACGCAGTTTTATTCCAGAGAGAGTCTCTTTCTTCTGCAAATCCAAGACCCCATCGGTTTATTACCGTATTCATATGCTTTCTGTTCTAGACCTAAATGAAATGTTGATCCCCCTTTAAATTGCTTATAAATGACAGGAATTGTTTTTCCTTACTTTCCCTGCATCACCTGTAGTGCTTTTGATTTGTCTCCTTCCTTTCTTCCGCTTCCCCCTACTGTGATCCTTCATGGCCATGCTGCTCATGGTTTTCACTCTCTTTAAGAGGAGCTGTTTCTACAAAGAAAAGGTTGTAAGCTCTTGAAGTGGAGCATGAAAGTAGAAAATCAAATACTTCAATGCACAGAGGATGAAAATGCTGCTGTAGGTCTGGCAAGTGGCTTAGCCATGTTGTTTTTTTAACATGCATTTTCAATTTTTAAAGCAAAATTGTCATAATTGAATCTCTAAAAGCTGAACCTATACTCTCACCCTTTCAGCAAAGGAGAAAGGTAGTATCAGGTAAAGGTGATTGGAGAGGCTTGGGCACAAGGAGCCGGATTCATGACTAATGTTTTAGTTGCCTTTACTTTTAAAAAATTCCTTGACATGCAAGCTTTAGCTGTGCTTGGTTTTACTCTGTGCAGAGCTCTTTCTTTCTCTATGTGCATGGCTGTACAGATTAAATGTGTGACTACTTAAGGAAGGGTGACTTCTTAACTATCTGGAAGCAAAGTAAATGAATGTCCTGACAGGGTCTGGGACATAGAATCATAGAATGGTTTGGGTTGGAAAGGACCTTAAGATCATCTAGTTCCAACCCCCCTGCCATGGGCAGGCACACCTTGTACTAAACCATGTCACCCAAGACTCCATCCAACCTGGCCTTGAACAGTGCCAGGGATGGAGCATTCACAACTTCCTTGGGCAGCTCATTCCACTGCCTCACCACCCTCGCAGTAAAGAACTTCTTCCTTGTGTCTAACCTAAACTTCCCCTGTTTAAGTTTCAACCCATGTTATCCTCCTATTTCACTTCCCCTGCACAAGAAGGTAAGAGGAATGCAGGTCTTTCTATTTATCTCACACAGTAATAATGCACTTCAGCAGAGATTTGAAAGGGCCACAAGACTATTAGGATTATAATGTCTTGCTTTCCTTTTGAAGTAAGATGAAGCTAAATGTAATAATCTGTTAGGTTAGGTGAACACAATGGGTTCTCAGCTGTAGGCTTTCATCACACAGCGATCTTGTATGATTTGGCCTGGCAGGGCTCTGGGCTCACAAAAATTTTGTAGGTGTCAGATGTTTGGCACTCAGAACCAACAACTGAGAGCCATTGTCATACTTGTGTCTCCCTGCTTTCTAGGCTTTCAATTTTAGAATACTGTCACTGTTTTCAGAATGTGATTTTTAGAGGAGGCTAATGAAAAGCTGCTAGGCTAAGTCCAATTTCAGCTATGTGGGCTTGCATGAATCTACTCAGATGCTGCTGTGTGCGTTCTGGCAGGATCATAGTGTAGTCTGGCAGGATGTTTGGTCAGCTACAGATCTGGGCTTTTATGGCTTTGGTATTTTGTAGGAGCAAACTGACAGTGTGGTGTGGCTGCTGCCTTCACTGTGACTATTTTGTCAAGTTCATTTCTGAATAAAGAAAACAAAACCAAGCTTTGAAACTATGCATCTCAACATCAAAGCATATTTTCTAAACAGCATATGGAGCAGGCACTGCAGCCATGCTTACTGTGCTCTGCTCAACTGCTTTTTGTAATTTTTCAGTCACAATATCCTATATGCTATAGCCCCTTTGTTTTGTTTCTCTATTTTTGTCTCAGGCTGTCCTACCAGAGAAATGATGATGATGAGGAAGAAGCTGCCAGGGAACGTCGCCGACGGGCTCGGCAGGAGAGACTGAGGCAAAAGGAAGAGGGAGATCTGTCTGGAGAAGTAACAGAGAAATCAGAAGTTAATGCCCAAAACAGGTAAACGTCTGAAGATGTTTACTGACAAGCCAACAGTAATTTTTGTTCAGAGTAGAGAAGCATCTTGAAGAGGTCTGTTTTGTTACTTAAATTCTAAGCATCAGGTTTGGCCATCTTTGCTCCGATAATCACAGCCTCACTGCACTCACCAGGCTATCCCATTATGGACTGTATCTGTTGATGTTGTTGCTGAACAGGAGTAGTTTCTGCTTGCTAGAGGAGTTCACTGAAGTCAGAGAGTATCATGCTTGTGTTGCATCTTCAAAAATTTTGCCTAGTGGGAAGACTGTTCATAAGACACATACGCCTCAGGCCAAGCTGAAGGGGTCCTTAAAGCAAGCTAAAGTCCTCCAAGTATTCTGGTGCAGGGTGGGAGGCTGAATTTTTCAGGGTTGCTCATGTTTCAGATGTTTCAAGTGTCAGGACTATTCCAGTGCCTACTGAGGTCAGTAAGACTCCTGGGGGCTTCAGTAGTTGCTGGATCTGGCATGGAATGGAGCCTTTCTAGGCTCTGACATTGTGAAACACCATATTGATATACATGCAAAGATGCCCAAATTAATCCCCAGAACCATTTTGCTAAATTTTGAAGTATGCAATCTGTTGTGTTTCCAAACGATGGAATGATGTTATAGCAAGTTTATTTTCTAGAAACAGCTAAGTGCATATGTTGTTATAAAAAGGTTTTGGTTTCTTTTTTTTCTTTTTTAATGCAAAGTTTTCACTTTTATGTAGTGTGGCAGAAGAGGAAACCAAGAGTTCTACAACCACAAGGGGAGCAGATGATGAAGCTGCATTGTTGGAGAGACTGGCAAGACGGGAGGAGAGACGTCAAAAGCGCCTTCAGGAAGCCCTGGAACGTCAAAAGGAATTTGACCCCACAGTCACAGATGGGAGCTTGTCGCTGCCCAGCAGGAGAGAAATAAACAATGTGGAAGAAAATGAGACCACGGGAAAAGAGGAAAAGGCTGAAACACGCAGAGGACGCTATGAGATTGAGGAAACAGAAACAGTTACCGAATCATACCAAAGGAACAACTGGAGGCAAGATGGGGAAGACGAGGGAAAAAAAGAAGAAAAAGACAATGAAGAGGTACAGGAGGAGAAACCAAAGGAGGCCTCTGTAGAGGAAAATCAGGTAGATGTGACAGCAGAAAAGTCCACAGATAAAGAAGAGGTAACAGAAACAAAAAATCTAGCTTTAAATGCAGAGGAACACAAAGCAGAGAATGATACAAATGCTGTACCAGAAGGGGAGCAAAGTGATGCTGTAGATAAAGAGAAGCTTATGGATGAGGAAAAGGCTGAGGAAGAAAGAAAGAAAGCAGAAGAAAGGGAGAAACTTGAGGCAGAAGAAAGGGAGAGATTAAAAGCAGAGGAGGAAAAGAAGGCAGCTGAGGAGAGGGCTAAGGCAGAAGAGGAGAAGAGGGCAGCTGAGGAGAGGGCTAAAGCAGAAGAGGAGAGGGCTAAGGCAGAAGAGGAGAAGAGGGCAGCTGAGGAAAGAGAGAGGGCTAAAGCAGAAGAGGAGAAGAGGGCAGCTGAGGAAAGAGAGAGGGCTAAAGCAGAAGAGGAGAAGAGGGCAGCTGAGGAAAGAGAGAGGGCTAAGGCAGAAGAGGAAAAGAGGGCAGCTGAGGAAACGGCTAAGCTAGAAACAGAGAAATTAAATGAAAAACTAAAGTTGGAAGAAAAGAAAATAGAAGATAAACAGGTAAAAGAGAAGAAAGCACAAGAGGAAAAACCTCAAGCAGCTTTGATAAGAAAACAGGTACAGTAAACATTTGCACCAAAATAAGACACCTGTGGTTTGTGAGAAATGTAATGCAAAGAAAAAGAAAAGATTGAATTGGAATTTCCTCACAGATCTACTCCTGCATTGAAATGACTAACACTCATGCTCTCTCTCTTTTAAAATAAATCTCCTTACCTCTGCTTACCACTAGTGCAGTACACAACATGCCTGACCTCACTCCATTGTTGAAAGAAAACCTTGCATGTTCAGACCTTTGCATGTTTGCTGCCTTCTTTCTCAGCTGCTATAAACTGGCCTAATGCAGTAACACATGAGGTGGAGGCAGGCACGTCTTGGCACAAAATACTATGAGCACCTGGTAAACTGTGTGTGCTAAACGCAGTCACAAGAGAGGGCGCTCTGCTGGGACATGTGAGCATGATGCCACACAAGGGAGAAAGGCCCATATGGGGGAATGGAAGCATTTGGAGAGGGTGGTGGGAGCACAACTGCACATGGAGATGTGGGCACAGCAGCATATGATGGAGATGTGGCTGCACACAGGATTGGTACATCAACACGGTGTGGAGAAACAAAAGTGCAAACAGAAGCTATATTTTCATATTAAAAAAAAATAAAGGGGGAAGAAAAAGAGGTTAAAGTGGAAGATAAAAAGGAAAAGTTACCAGATGAGAAGCTTCAACCTACCTCCAAAAAAGATCAGGTAACTTGTAAGCCTTTGTTTTAGGTGGTGAAGGGAAACTTGAGATAAGAAAATAAGTAAGAGACCTACCAGTGAAAGTTGCTTGTTCAGCAAAGTACTTAAGCATGTGCTTCACTTGAAGAACATAGGTAGTCCTACTGAAATAAATAGGGATGAAGCTATTTATGTGCTTAAAATGAAGTAAATGCTTAAGTATTCTGTTATTTTGCAGCTTTAGAACCAAGACCTGTTTGTCTTAGAAGAAATACTTCAGGAAACTCAGTTTGGTCAATAATGCAAGGATGGTTTGCACCCTAGGGATGAATTTTTCAACTAATCGTCCTTTCCTGGTTTCCTCCCACTTTACTGTGAACTTTTTCCCTATGACTGAGACCTACTCTGACAGTAATAGTAATAATCTAGGCCCTTTGGCTACCTGACTGCCTTAACTAATGATTTTCCCCCAAACTGCAATGCCTCATGATACAAACTGTGCATACCCAAGATTTTTCTTTTGTTTTAAAGAGAAAATCTACAAAAATTACTGCATTGCATTTCCACTGTAAACACAGGAGCTGGTGCCATGGTGTTTTACTGTATGGTAAGTAGATAAGATTTGGAGACCATTTACTCTCCAGGTTATAGCTGGATACAGGGAGCCATATTCAATTTTGTGTACAACTGTGCTTTTGGTTCAGTGCAGCAGGTATTAGAATACCCCTGATTCTAATCAGACATTGAGACTGGCCAGGAGGTTTGGATCCATTTGGGTTCAGCCAGGTCTGTATGGCATAAAGGGAGCCACAGCACACAGATCTAGTAACAGGCAACTTGCTGCCTGTCTAGCTGCTTGGGAGCATTGAAGGTTGTAGAGGATCTGGTCCAGGGTCTTTAGATTTTGGACTAATTCAGAACATGGTGTAGATGCTTAGCTCACCCTCTGAGAGCGATAAAGACAAATCATGTCACAAGGTTTTATGTCAAGTTGTCTGGCTTGATCATCCAAGGTATCATATTTTGAGTAAGGTACACGAGATTGAAAAGGCAGATGAAGTCATGAAGATGGCTAGCATAAATGTTCCTAATGAACAGGGAGAGAGACTGGAAATATTAGAATAAGTTACTTTAGAAAGGGGAGGATTTAAATGAGAACTGATGGAGATGCCTCAGAACAGTCCAATAGAAAAATTAAACCATCACTCTATATTAAGCCAATTGCAAAAGCAGAGGGAAGGGCTATGCAAAAAGGGATGGATTATATTAAGAGTTCTTCATAAAACAGAATTGGCTTTTAATATTCATTGTTGAAAAGGATCTTTTGAGTATTATAAGTAAATACATAAAGGAGGCTGTAAATAACCCCAAATATTGATTTTGGGGCTGACTTGAGACCCAGTCATCCTGCTTGTGATTATGTGGAGCTCAGTCAGCTCTCACTGGAGCTCTCATGATGCTTTTAAACTGAAGCCACAGGGCTAGATTGTTCCAGGAAATTGATTTTTAATAGTTACTTGAGATTTTAGTGCTTCTATTTTTGGATGCTCAAACTGAGACAACTCAAGAGTCCCACTTTAAGGGCAATGCTGAATACCCATCCACTGAAAGGTAAATCTTTTACATATGCATCAAACTGAGCATTTGAAGTGTTTTGCTCAATTTTGAAAATCTCAGTTGTTGCTTCTTGGTTTCTAAAGAAAAATTGACAACCTCAGACTCCAAACCAAGTCAAGATCAGGATCCCATTTCCACTCCTTCCCCCTCTTGCAGGACATACAAATTCAACGAGGCCTATTTCTGAACTGTATGTGCAGTTAAGAGGATGGCAGTATATCATGATCAAGAACCTGAGGGAATAAAGTGTATTTACATAAACAGATTTTGGTTTTGCAGTTGTGCAACACAAGCAAATGTCCTTTCTTAATGTGACCAAAATCTGGCCCTCAAAGTTCAGGTTTTGATCAAATTAGGAAGTAAAATCTGTCTTCTATTCTGAACTGCCCCGCAATTTTTGGTTCTCAAAAGTGACCTGGAAAGTTCATAAGGACAAGCTTTCTCATGATGTGAGACTCCTGGTATTTCCTGCTTCCAGTTTGGCTAGACATGCTGCGGCAGTTCCTATTCTCATGGTATTTGGGTATGGTAGTTGGGTCTAAATGGAAGCCCCAGACCCAAATGCCCACATCTTTTAAGTCACCAAGTAGCTGAGCCCAAATAAGGAAGCAAATTTGCCAAATGGCCCCAAACTCAGTAACTGATTCACTGTGGTCTGAAGGTGTTAAAATTCTAGATTCAGAAATCTTAACTCTCAAATATTAGCATAACACCCTAACAGGAAAGAAGCAGTGTAGAGAAAGACTAAAATATAAATAAATAAAGGTGGAAATTAGCTAAACATGCTTTTGGTCATGTTCTATCTTGACTTGACAGTCAAGATCTGTGAGAACATATAAACTGTCTTCAGTTCAGGTAATACCACCTGTCTACTCCGACGGGAGTCAGTCTAGTCCTCTTTACTGAATTCAGCTTCTGCTGAATTAGCCTTTAATTTAGGGAAACTCTGAGACAAGTGAAGGGAATTTTTCTGTTGCAAGCCTTGGGAATGGGATATAACGGTTTCTGCTTCTGTGCTAAGCAATCTCTGTTTTGACATTAAATTTAGTAGAAGTATTGGGCCCAAAAGCTGTGAAATATTTCTGGAATATCTTGGTTTATGATCTTTTTGAACAAAGAGGCCAAGCTGTATTAATTATTTTCTCAAATGCAGATGCATTACCATAAATCCTACTGGCTTCTAAAATGCTATTTCCTAAGCTGTTATTTTTTAAACTATATTGTTTTAATATTAGTTTTCTCACTGATTTCAATTAAGATGTAAGAGATATGACCCTCCCCAGTGGACTTCAATACATCAGGCAGCTAGAAGTATTGGCTTTTTAATGAGACCTAGAAAGGTCTTGATGAAAATCTCAGCAAAGGAAATCCTATGCTCTCAAAATCCCAACACAGACATCCTGGCATGAGGAATCTTGCAACAACCAACATCGCTGGTTTCAGTGTCACCCTGGCTGGGACTTAAGGGTTAGGAGATTGCTAACAAGCAGCAGAGATTTTTACTGTGAACATGATTACTATCTGCAATCTTGCCCCTATTTGGAAGTACCCAAAAGATGTTGCTCTCTAATGGCATTCATTAGGCTCAATGAATAGCCCTGGTTGTCTCAGTCCAGCTCCTAGAAAACAGAAAACCATTCCTTGAGGCAGCTAGTAATAATGGCCTTGTTTGCTAGCAGTTACAGCATCATGGCCAAAGAATGCATGGTCATGGAAGCTGAACTCCCCTATTGTCTGTCGGGGTGCTTCTGCCAGGTCATGGCTAAAGCCTGTTGACAGGAGAGGGTGGGGAAAATCTGCAGCACAGCTGCCTGTTCTCAGTACAGAGCAAATACCTCTGTGAGCTGGGTCCAACATCCCTCACCAGTGGCAAATTTGCTCAAATAGTTTAACCACCTAGTATGACCTTGTAGTGTGTGGCACCTTGACATTATCTGTCACATCAGCCTCTGACTGACTCTGGAGCTTCACTCAGCAGCTTAATTCAATGCCTGAGGAGGATGTTGACTTTGGCAAATCCGAACTGATCCTTTCTTGGTAAAGATGTTACATCTCCAGAAGTTCTTGTTGCAGATAGGACTGTTATGGAAGTTTGTTTTCTTTCTAGTTAGCAAATGGGATGGCGAGAGTCTTTCAAGGGAAAAAAGTTGGGTTTTTTTTTCTAGAGGTCTTCATATAAATTTTCCACAGGAGGTATTTCTTACTTGCCAGATAGAATGTTCCTCCAAATTGGTAGATATGGGGATAAAAAAAATATTTGGAGATAAATGTTTCATCTGCTGCTGTTGAAAGTTTACTTAGGCTAGTAGTCTGAGTGGAAATAATTCCACCTGAAGATAAATTACTTAAATCAGTTCATATTCTCCTCCCTTTATCAGTATCTAGCCATGACTCAGCATATGGGGAACAGGCAGTCTGTGGCATTAATAAATACTTCAATCTCATAACTCTGAAGGAATACTGGAGAGTGAAATCTAGGCATTAATACTTGATTCAGACTATAATACTATTCAGACTAATACCTGTTCAGAGTAATGGGACAAAGCTTCTGCATAGGATTAAATATTCGTGTGTGATAACACTATCCATGACTAGCCCCTGGTAGGATTGTGCATTTTGTCAGAGTAAGTTTTACTCTAATATGAAGGCAATTCTGTGTTTTGGCCATCATTCTTGCAATACTGAAGTATCCATCTGCTGTGAGACTGGAAAGGTTGTGAACTTTGTCAAGCAAACCTCACAATCGGTGAAGGTTATGTGTTATTTTTATTCCAAAAATGCCCTATACCTTGCAGTAGGAGTGTATGGGACAAGCCTAGTCCAGGAGAGTTTGCAGTCCAGAATCTTAATAGGCAACAAGTGAATCATGCTGCAACAGGAGGGAAGATGGTTGGGGTACCTCAGTGGGGTGCAGTTCAGAATGAAGCAATGCGGTAGCATAGTCCCATGGCAACAACAGACTTTCTCAGAAGACTAATAAAATTGTTCAAGATGTTTTCATCTTGAATTCAGATCAGGACAGCAGAGTGGTAATTGGTCACAGTTTAGAGCTTTACAGACTACTACTGCCATAAACCCCACAAACATTTTGAAGACATTTGCTTATTTAATCATTAATGCCAAGAAATTTGTGTTCCTCAGCTGTTATTTCTGTTATTTAGAATGCTTCATTGTGACTTGGGGTTTTTTTTGTTTGTTTGTTTTTGTTCTATGATTCATGGTATCTCCTGAGCAGGTAAAAGATGATAAGGATAAAGGAAAAGCACCCAAAGAAGAAATTAAAAGTATCTGGGATCGTAAGAAGGGAGCTCCTGAACAAAAGGCACAGAATGGAGAACGTGAACTCACTGTCCCAAAACTTAAATCTACTGAGAATGCTTTTGGGTAAGTTCGAAGTAAGCATTGGGCTTGCTTATGGTATAGCAGGCCAGGGGGCATCTCTGGGTTTCCACTTAATAGCCTTGTAGCTGCTGAATAGAAGACTTCGGTTGGCAATGTCAGCAGAGACTCTAGTGTTCATTGGGTTGTTAGGTATGAAGTAAGGCTCTTAGCCTGTTTCTTAATGAACTGCCCGCACACTGCTGCGGTAACAAAATGAAGTACAGATGGCAGATGTAAATAGCCTTGTTCCCTCAGTAGAGACTAGTGGCTCATTTTTGTTCTGCTGGGGTTTTCCTTCCTTGAAGGGTATTTATTTCTTACATTACAAGTGAAGATATTTCTAATATCTTCACAGAGGCCAGTAATGACAACAGCTCAGATTTTGTGTATTTCCAATTTCCCACCTGTTTTTAATCAGACCGCGTATCAATATGGAGAACAATCTAGTTCCTAACTCCTGAAAGCTTCTCTGTTGATTTCAAGGAAAACCTTGAAATTAATGGCTTCTCTATAAAAGTGATTTTTTAGTTAGGTGGAAACTTCTTCTAGCCAAAATATTCTGATTTTTGTCTTTTTATAAGATCTATCACAGTTTGATTTTTATTTTTATTTTCAGAAAATGGTTTTATGGCTATATTGGGAAATTCAATGAAGGTAGCAAATTAGTGAAAAGTTTATTAAAAAAGTATTCTTCCTGCTAAAAGGAGGGGATATAGGGGAAGCAGAGCAGAAGTTCTTCTTTTAGCAGAAAACCAGGAATGAATAGGTTAGAAATCTGTTTGCGTTTTTTTTCCCCTTCTGCATCTCTCTTCCTTTTTTACATTGACAGAGGCAAAGAAAAGGTTAAGCTCTCCAGGGACTTTGAGAAATCTGTGTATGGGATTTGCTGTTGTATCTCAGCATTCCCCTTGTGATTGTTTCAGGGAAAACAAACTTTCTCAAAATAAATGCAATTCAAAAGTCCCTGGAGACACCATGACCTAAGGCCAAAAGACAGACAGAGATGGACATGGAATTGCAGGAAATTTGTCTTGCTCAGAACTGTCCTGCTTCATGACTTGGGTCACATCATCAATAACATAAGAATGGTTTTCTAAAAATATTTTGATTATGTTTTCATTTGCTTCACTTCCTGTGGGAGACAAGCCTTAGTGGCAACATTTAGATTTGAATTTCCACTCTTCTTTTTTTCTTTTTCTCTTTTTCTTCTATGATTTCTCAAATGTGGGAAAAAGCCTTTTTAATAGCCTTTTATCATCTGAGAAGGCTTGGGCTGGCAACATCAGCAGAGGCTTTACTGTTTGTTGGGTTGTTAGGTATGAATTAAGGCTCTTGGCTTATTTTCTAATTAACTGCAGTCACATCATTGGGCTTTGTTTGGAACTATCTTCTCGTTTTTACATGAACATATCAGATACTAGTTAGGAAGCATGTAACTTGGCCAACTCTCAGTGGTGAGAACTGAGAATTGAATAGGGTAGTGGAGGCTAGACAAAATTCTTATCTGTGTCTCGTTTCTCTACGTCAGTCAGTAAGAGAAATACAGAATAAACCCCCATTTTATGGCTTCCCCTTCCCATCTCCCCTCCCACCTGCCTTCCTCCCTATTCTCATACAGGACTGCAAAAGTCCTAAATATGATGTAACATGTTTTTTCACATTGTTCTAACATTTTTGGCTCCCACAAACCACTTCTTTCCTTTTCCTCTTTGTCTGAAAGCTGGCAACCAACTTTATTTCTTAGCACCAAAGAGGTGCTTACGAAACTCTTCCTCCACCCAGCATCTCAATACTAATTTCCCAATGTCGACACAAGAGAACAGAGATTCCCAGAATCTGTTGAAAACAGAAGAGTTTGGGAGGTGGAGGAAAATAAAGAGAATTACTGCCAGTTTATTGTTTGCTATTTTGGATTGTGCAGAACCAGTAGGGGAAGTCCTGTAAACAGAATGAGAATAAAATAAGTTATAAACTTTAAATGTCCTTCTTTGTATGACCTGAGGTCTCCAAACAAGAATGTTAAGACTAGATTCTACCTTGGGCTTTCATCAGTTGAAAGCTGAGAGTAGCTGTTAATTTTATTGAGGCTGTCTGCACTCAAGTCACTGAGGACTAACCTTTTTTTTTTTTTTTGTGCTGATATAAACCAGAATGGCTATTTATTAAGAGAATCTTGGTAAATATTATGGTTTTAGTTCTTTTAGTTCTGAGGGCTGAGTATTTGCTCTTGCCAGAGATATCATTATGTCTATCAGAAGTGAGCTTTTGCATCTTCTTTGGGCCTGAATCTTGCAGGTCTGGGTGGGCTGGCAACAGAGGCTTCAGAGACCAAGAAAAAAGAAGGAAAAAAAATAGTGAGATTCTTGGGATGTTTGCTATAGAGGCCGCTCCCTTGCAATGAAGCAAGAAAACATTAAAATAGCCAGGGATTTCTCATGGCCCGTGAAGGATAGATGCACTGGATCCTTAGAAATACTTTGTGCTTTATAGAGGCTTGTGGAACGTTTTGGTTTCTCAGTATCTCTGCCAACTGAATCAGAGGTATTTCAGGCTGGACACCCAAAATCATACCTCACATCTCAGATGTTTTTTTGTTTATTTGTCACCCACTTTGCTTTTGAATAGGCCGAATTAAATTTCAAATAAAGTTTCCAATGTTTTTTCACAATGCTTTAGTTACTTGTATATGTATTTTTCATTAAAAAACATGAGTTCCTTTAATTAGGTGTCATTACCTGATGTAAGCTCTTATTCATGGCCACTTACATTAACTTAATGCTTATGGTGGAGAGTTATCTTGCCGTTCTGCTTTCGTGGTTTGAGTGATTTCACTGCCAAAACACATTTAGGAATAGGGCCAAGAGCAGAAATGGATTGTGATAAGGCAATATCAGGGAAATATATATTATGTACTTGTGACTCTAGGTTAGAAAATCAAGAATGAAAATGTACTGGAAGTACATACATTCAGAAACCTCTGCACCATTTTGTTCTTTAGCTTTGCTTTGTGATGTTATACTCTTCCATAGAAAAGACTTTCTAAAACGAAGTAAACACATTGCAAAGTAAGTAAGTGCCAGGTCCTACTACTTAAATGATACACTTGCACAGCTGAAGTACAGCAGCAAAATTCACATAATAGCATCAATCTGGTTATGTTATTTTGCCATATATTTTTTTAATGATAAAACTCCTAAATCATGCATGTTGCCCTAGAAATGAATTTAATCCAATTTGGTAACACCATGTGGGGGCAAAGAACTCTGTGTTAGTATATTCTATTGTGATATTAAAACCACAGATAATTTAGCTCTGGTCCTACAGCCAGTTTTATATGGTAAATTCCATCTAGATGAGGTATCTATCTGAATGAAGAGCTCCTTTACAGGATTGGGTGTGAATCACCAGATTGCAAATTTATATGGTATTTGTTCTTCAGGTTGTCATCTCCTATTTGATTGTCTCTAAAAGTTATTGTTATTATTGGAATGCTTAATTTGTACCATTTCATGGTATTAAACTCCGCAACACTCTGGTTGCATTAATAATGAAGCCATTAATATCCAGCTTTTTCAAATTCCAGCAGAGGAGAGCAAAAAGTTTTTCTAAGAAAATCCGTAAGTACATTCCCTTTCTGTCTCTTGTGAATAGCTGATATCTCTTAGGTACCTATCTCCTTGTCAGCAGTATATTAAATGCACACAGGAAGCAGACATTTGTCTTAAAACTGTTGTGGTCATTGTTTAACTAGATGTTGCTGTCTGACTCAGCTGAAAGTATACACTTTCAAATCCAAATTCTTTGGGGGTTAGGTTTTTTAGGTATTCATTCTTTATGTCTCAGATACTAAAGCTGGTTGAAAACTTCTGGTTTTCTCCTGTAGGAAGTTGCCATTAATGAATAATTTCCAATTTCTTAATAAAGAGTCATACTTTCCCTGGAAAATATTTGATGAGCTTTTCTGTTCATACAGGCTGAGTTAGAGTGATAAGTGTTATAGGTTAGTTAGGAACCTTTTTAGATTTTTAAAACATTGTTGAAACTTAAGATTCTCTTCCCTCTCTTATATCCTGTTTTCCCCAAGTAATTTGCTCTGTCCCCAGAGATGCTTGTCTTTTTCTGCAGGATTTATAAAAAAAATACTTGTCTTTAAAAGCAAAGGATTAGTGCATCTTTCAGCACGCAGAACATAGCATAATATTTTTGCTATGCAATTTTTATATGTAAATTTATCTCATTTAAAATCGGCAGAAAGAAGTTACGGCTTTCCATTTCTTTGTCTGTGTGGAGTATAATACGCTTTTACAAGTGTTTCCTCTGTGCAGAGCAGAGGTGTGAAACTAACAGTTTACTGTATACCATAGAGATGCTGATGAGATATGACACCTCTTGCTGAAGTTACATGATATGTTAAATATTTCAAGCTCAGTTACTGAATTCTCTTGAAAATGGAGGTGGCCTGAGTTATCAGGCAGGGTGGTGCAACTCCTGCGCACACAAACACATGAAAGACTCTTTCCTCACTGGCAGTGTGTGGCAGAGGTGCTGCTTTCAGTATCCCAGCTTACTTACTCCTGATGAAAATGTTTTGGGCCTGTCATAGTTTGCAAAGAGCTGAAGGTCTTTTAAGGCAGTATCTTTAAGTGACAGGCTCTCATGTGGCTTCTGAGCACATGGCAGTAGGTGGGCCTGGCCAGAGAAAAGCAAAACCTGTGTTGCATCACCTTCCATTTCATTTCTTTCCCAGCCGCTCCAATTTGAAAGGGACCACAAACGCCGAGGAAGCAAAGCTGGGGTCTCAGGCTGAGGCTGCAAAGCGGCTAGAAGATCAGCGCCGTCGCCGAGGCGAGAATGACGAGCTTGAGAAGCTGAAGGAAAAGCAGCAGGAGGCAGCAGCAGAACTGGATGAACTGAAGAAAAGGCGGGAGGAGCGCCGAAAAATCCTGGAGGAAGAGGAGCAGAAAAAGAAGCAGGAGGAGGCTGAGAGAAAAGTCAGAGAGGAGGTGAGTGTAAAATACGAAGTATTGGACTCTGTTTCTATTCCCTTGTTACTACTTTACTTCCACTGGCTTTGCATTAGTTAATAACACTTTACAGCAGTGTCTGTACAGACACTATTAAGCAAAGAAGGGGCTGTAAGTCAACAGGTCTGTATTTAACAGAAGGGCAGAATGAGACCACGGGGGACACTTCACTGAATTACAAAGCACATGTCAAAATTCATCTGCTGTGCAAGAGCTGCAATGGTAATGTTATATATAGTTATGATGGGCTAGATCTCATTAGGAAGACATTCTTGTCTATTTAAATATTGAGTACCCAAGCACATCTGTTTGCTTGTACTTCCTCTGCCAAGGGACTCTATAAATAGGATTACCAAATCTCTGGTGCATCATTTAGGAATCTTAGTTGTTTGGAAAACAAATGGTAGATGATGAATAGTAGTGTTTGGCAGCTGAATGCCAATTGCTTTTCATATACTAAGGTCTTTACAGTAAAACTGTACCTTGTGGGTCAGACCCTGTTGACCTGTGTTTACAATGGTGGTGCTTTGAGGGCTTCTGGTTTGACTTGTAGCTTATGAAGTAAAAATTAATGTTCTCTCTTTGGAAGAAAAAATGTAAGTATTTAGTCTTCAGTTTTTTGGGGACCTATTGATTTTTCCTTGTGCAATATTCTTAACTTTGACACAAGCGCCAGAGTAGATGGACAGAACAGTAAAATGATAATACATGAGGATATAGAGAAACTGAATTTGAGTGGTTTTATAAATGTGCTTTTTTTCTCTCTTTATATGTCACTAATGGCACTATATAACAAAAATCCGATGACCTTCACTGTGAGGAGACACTAAGGCAGCACTGACTAGCTGTCTTTCCTGCTTCCTTAGCACTGTGATATATTAGTAGCAATACACTGATAGATTTTAGATAGGTCACTGAACTTCTTTGACTGGATAAAAATCTACTCTTAGAAAATGTGGTAAATGTTTGCAGGACTGTAAAGCCATATAGTGGTAATGTAGTTTCTGAAAGAATAAGTGACCATTCATGTTTTTATAAGGAGGAAAAGAGGAGGATGAAGGAAGAAATTGAAAGGAGAAGGGCTGAAGCTGCTGAGAAACGTCAAAAAATGCCAGAAGATGGTGTATCTGAAGATAAGAAGCCATTTAAATGTTTCAGTCCTAAAGGTTCATCTCTCAAGGTAACCTCCCCACTAACATCTATAAAGTGCATAAAAAGTAATGGGGATTGCAGTCCAAACCAACAGCCAAAAATCAAAGTAGTGTGGAAATACTTGAAATCAGACCCGAGACAATGCTCTGAAATAGACCTTAGCCTGAAAGGTTTTGCTGAAAGACTTCATTCATTGGGATGACTGAAAATTACAGATCCTTTATAAAAACAGAATCTAGACTGTTTACCTGTTCTTGTTGATGAAAAATGTCCAAAAAAGGATCTTTACTTTCAAGATAAAATTATTATTGGAAACTTAGAGCTGTATTATTATGTTGATTTTCAGTGTTAATTTATTATAGGAGTACTTTATGAACTGGAGTAGATAAAGATCACAAATGTTCTCGCTTTCCTTCCACATCCATAATTACTTTCTTCCTTGCCAGATTACTTCGTCTTTAAGCGTATGCAGCCTAATAATCATTTATTGAAACTGCCTCGTATGGGAGTTCTAGTTTATGTCTAATCCTTCTAAAAATAGCATCTAGAAGTTCTGGGCTGGATTTAATTTTCTTACATAACAGGAAAAAAACCCAAAACTTCTGTTGCTGGAGGAATTTCTAAGTGGTCTTCTGGGCCTGTATTGTATTGAAAGTCAGATAAATCTATTAAATGGCCTTTCAGCATGAAAGAGGAATCCTGGCCCCACTGAAATTACTGAAAACTTTGTTTTGGTATCCAGTCCACTTGCTTTTTCAGCTCAAGCTCTAGCTACAGATCTATTAATTGTTTTCAACTCTTTTTCCTTTTCTCATTTTGTGTCATTAGTAATTTAAGAATCCAAAATGTTTGTCAAAAAAGGCCCCTTAATGGGCACTAGGAGAAAAAAGAACCAGGCAGGAGGTTGTCAGGTAGGAACTCGTTGAACCATAAAGTGGATCCATAAAGTGGATCTCCATGGGATTAAGAACTGTTTTTGTTCAGTGACAGACTGCATTTGGTCAAAATCACATTTCTGCTCTCACTGAGCTACACTTTGAACCAATCTGGAGTTTCAGCCTTATGCTGGTTTGGGTTCAGTTTTAGCAAATGCAGTTAGTGTCCAAATGCTTTTGACTACAACTTGCCTTCGACTTCTCAAACACATTTGAACCTGAAATACAATGACAAAATGCATACAGCTCTACATGAAGACTGCTAAGCTTCGCAACTTGGTCTTGCCATGTTGGTTGCAAAAGATCATGTCATTAGCAGACACTATAAATGTATAGCTTCTTCCCAGCCCTCCTGGGAGGGCTTTCTTTTCTTCTTGTGTTCATTTAGATGCCTTTTATGACATATATTTGGAGCTTTGGTTCACAGATGACTCAGAAGAGAGGAAATTATACTTGAAAACACGTAATAGAAAGATATAGATCGTAATTTTGGGAAGAGTGGGAAAAAACACTGGATTTGGCAGGAGGTTAATAGCTTTCAGAAAACTTTTGGACCAAAGCTATACTATTCTTCTAAAAGTATTTTTAGAGGAAAGCTTGAATTTTCCAAATGTCATTAAACATCCAAGATCCATATTATTTTTTTATGGTGATAATTGCTGCTGGGTTTTATAGCTTTTTAGGTAGAAGTTGTTTGTTACAAAAACTGATATATGCAACTGTATGCATTTTTTTCTTTTTCTTTGTTTCTCTCTCTGGGAAGTTTGTAATACAGTCCAGTGTCTGTGGGTGGCCAGAGTGGCTATGTAATGCTGTTGAACCTCACACCCTAAACTGTTTCTTGGCTTTCTGTGGTCAATAGCTCAGGAAAGAATAATCTCATTTTAATAATCTAATGTCAAATTTGATGTCAAACTCCAGTTTTTAGAAGACAGTATATTTCATTACCTTTCATTTGGATAGACTTCTCAGGCTGGTCTAACCCGGCTGGTACACAGTTTTCTCATTGTCTTTTATGCGCTTCCCAAGTTATCTTTTGACTTGTAAAGCATCTGGCACATATTTTCTCTCTTGATGAATGTATCATCTGGTTAGATGTGTCATGAGTCATGTGAGAACCCTAAATGCACAATTGTGGGTAGGTGGAATTAATAATGAAAAAGGGAGACTTAGTATTAAAATGTTGTATGATACATGTACACGTTCTGACTTCTCCTAGATCATAATCTGGCAAAGCACCTTTTTCTCCTTCCTTGTCCTTCCTGATGTGATAAGTTTGGGGTAAAAAAAAGAAGTTCCTGGAGGTAACTTAGATAAGGAAAGAAGTGCATGCTGTTTACTAAGGGAACTAGAAGAACAAAGGAAAGAAGGGAGATAATGTGACATACTTACGGACACTGCATTTATTCATCAGGGAGGGCATGGCCTAGTATGACATGCAGACTCAGAATTGAGAGACCAAGATGTGCAACCCGTCACCACGTATTGCATGTCTCATGGATGGGTATTATTATATGTACATATATAAATATGGAGGTATACAAACACAAGCATAATGTACATATACTTAGAAAGAACTACTGTTTGGCCTCTAATAAATCACAGCCTATGCTGTGTTGACAGGTCCTGTTGTTTTAACTGTTAAACACAGTATTTCCCTGAAACTTGAGACATTACTTCAGCAGAACTATCACATCAGCATGAAGTCTTCCCAGTGACAGCACGAGGGCTGGTCCCTTCTGAGGGCATAGTGAAAAGGAAGCATGAAAAGTTCATCACTAGCGCAGGGGCAGAAACAGCTTGCATTTCTCAGGGCTGGTGGAGTCTCTGTGGGTAATAGCAGCAGTACTAAACTTCTGTTCAACCTCTGCCCTCTCTCTTGGTATATTTCACAAGGACAAAGACTGGAACAGCATCTGCTGCTCTCCCATCGTGCTCTAGCTCATGCTTTCACTGGTTTAGCTCACACAAATGGCGCTGCAGTAGAAGAATGGGATTTCCTGCATAATCTTTGTTCATTTTCCTTTTTAGACAAGTTTGCTCCTCATGTTTTCTTTGGGAAGAAGTGCTACTGACTTCTTGTGTAACAATTCTCTAGCTTAATCAAGAGAGAACAGGATATTTCAGTACTAAGCCTCCTCTCAGGGGTGAGCTCCACCACTAAAGAAATGCAAAAGCTGTTAGGCAATGAGGGGAGGAAGCAATGGCAGGAGACCTGGGATATCTCCTGTCTTTGTAGAAAATGTCTTCTGGGAAACATGGGCTGATGTGGCAGCCCTCACTCTCTGCAAGGCAATGCTGACAGCTGAGCCAGAAGACAGGACTTTTCAGGGCTTGAGATTCATGTTTTTTTTTCTTAAGGACGTGTCCTGTCCTATCTCATTATTGCTCTCAATAGCTGACAGCTGGAGCAGTGACTGGAAAGAGACTGCACGCAATCAGTTCTTTCTAGATGAGCTACTCTTGCAGCAGAGGGAAGACAGAATGGTAAGAACAGGATTTGTGACATACGTTTTACCCGCATCTTTGATGCTGATGGCAGCACTCTAGTCTGGCAGGTAAACTGGAGGAAATTGATGCACTCTGTGCAGATGCTGCTGATAGCAGGTAAAAGCCCAACTGTGCTTAATGAAGCTAAAGAACACATGAGCCACTCACGGAGAATAAGGAGAAGCCACTTTACTCCCAGGTACTACCACTCCAAATGGATATCCATTAGGTTCTACCACCTGTTGGCTATAAGGCAAAATTATAATAGAGGATCTCTGTTTTCTGTGTGCATTTCTTACTCCTTTTCTTCCTTGACCCATTTTTTGAGAACAGTTTTATTATGTATCAGTTTACAATACTTTCTGTCACATGACATCTAATAATCTAAGAATCATTTAATACATTTGTATGAAACACGTTTTACTGGGAATATCTAGATGTTTTTTGTTTTCCAACTGACATATGGGTGTCACCTATATGTACTGACCCTGTTGAGTAAGGCCGTAATCAGGTGTGAGAATGTCCCTTGGTTTCATTTCATCTGACTTGACCAGCAGAAGGGTACATCTCCATCCAAGCATTTTGTTGTCTAATCTGAACTTCTTTGATAGTCACAGAGTGAGAGCCACCCACAGTGGACAAGCAATGCCACCTTTCCTAGGGTGAGGTGAGCTTTTCTGCCTCTCTCTTGACTGTTGAAGGAACCAAAATGAGTAATTTTGACTAAATGCTTAACTTTCAAGCAACTGAGGTTAGGTAGGAGAGATGCAGCCCATGATCCTGTGCTTTTTCTCTCTGGACATAATTTAATTAGAGGCTACTGGTTAAGTTTTTGGAGTATGTGTGTCTTGTGTCAGAGGCTTTGGAAATTATTCCATGGTGACAAACCGTAGTCCAAGCTGTTTAACAAGATCCTGTTAAAATAAGCACATTAAAAAAAAATATTTTTATTTTGTGGTCTCACATTGAGAAAATATCTTGCATTTTGTACTAACCACCTTGCTTTGCCTGTTTCTTTTACAGATCTATTTTGTAATACTCTTTACTGTATGTGCCAAACATTTTAAAGTCTTTGCATGGAGTTTGTGTGGTGTGTGGTAGATATATGATCTTTAGATATTGCTGTGCAGTTTAAATGTATTTGACCTATGTGTTGAATACATGTGTGTATACAGGTGTGTTTTATCTAAATGTATTCAAAGTATGCTTCTGTTTCATGCATATTGTGTTTTGAGGAAGATGTTCTTGAACAAATTCATGTATAAATATGCAGAGAATGTGTTATCTGTCCACACGAGGCACCTGGTTCAGATCTGAGGGTAATTTCCTAAGTCTGCATTCCTCTTTAACTTATTTTCTGATTTGCTTCCTTACTCTGTTGAACAATCTGAACAATCCACGACTTATTTCCAAAATGACTCAGAGAAAGTGCTCTGAGAACTGCTGTTTCCAGCAGGTAAAGAATGGCCCCCTGATTTTTTACTACAACCCCAAGAATACATACCCCTCTTCCCCACAACCTATCCCCCCTTATGCCAATACCTAATGAAGCCAGATTTTCCTGCCATGTGGAAACTTCTCTCCTTCCTTAACATAGGAAGACTAGAAAGAGTCTACTGTTAGCCTCTTTGAAGAGCTGTCCCTCTTGTAAGATTTCAAGTGGATTCTCAGTTCATCTGAATTAGAAGATGCTGTCAACAAATTATTAGTTAACTTCAGTCCAGGTTCTTTGAGACAGTCCGTATTGTTTTTCCTTGGTGCCAGCCAGGGTTTCACTGATGTAGCTGGGGAATTACTCATTCATAAAGAGCAGGGGAGAAATCAGTGGCTCTTATTGTTGGTATAACTCATCATTTCAGTGAGGGTTTGTTTTAAGCTTCTTGTGGCCTAGAAACCAGTCTTGTGGGAAAATTTTCCTCCTATACCATATTCGAGGAGAGGCGACTAGTTTAAGTTCCCAGTCTAGATCTGTCTAGTCACTTTTCGTCTAATAATTTACTTGCTTGTTTTACGGCAATGCCGACTGTGTTTCCTGTGGGTGAAACTAAGTTGTGAATTGTTGAGGAGGGCAGAGGAAGATCCGCAGATCCCGACCTGTAGGGTGTGCATGGTGGCTCTTCAGCTCCTGCCTGGTGTACTACTGCCGCCTTGTGACAGCAGTGCGCGGAGACGTTTGGTACATAGTCGAGTAAAGCCCATCTTTCCGCTCAAGATTGTGTTTAGATCCTATGTTGGTAACTAAAACTGTTAATGTAAATTACTCTGTAAATTGTGTATATATATGTATTAGCGCTTTAGAGGTGCTCTCGAGCTGGATATATGCTACCTGGAGTTCCTCCAGTGAGCCCGTTTGGCAAATTCTGCACTGAAGTGAACTGCTGTCTTTTTTGCTTGTACAGACTTGAGAAATAAAACATGCATTGATGGGATTGCTGTGGGATTTAGTTTTCTGGTACAGCGTGTTAAAGGCACTGTGGAGAACCATTTGAAGGAGTGGCTGTCATTGCCTAATTTTAAAAGCATGAATGCCCCAGCAGTCGCTGTTAAAGTAACTTGTAAATGGACAACACATACTGAGGCTGGGGAATCCCCAGGAATCCAGCCAGGCTAATTAATAGCCATTTCTATCCCCTGGAGCTGCTTTTATATATTTTACTTTTAAGTGAAACTGTAGATCCTGGGACAAGAATTGGAACAATGCAATGTGGAAGACACTTGAGGAAGTTTGCAAATAGACTGCCCTCATCATTAAATATTTTGAAACTTTATTCAGGGACGGAGTCTTTTTGTTTTCAAATTATTGAGGCATTTGGTATAAGTCGTATGAGACCTTCATGATTATTTTTGCCTGGAAACATGACAATATTTTCCTATACACAGACTAGAAAATAATGATGAAATATAACATACTAGTTGGTACAATAACAGCTGGTAAATATTGACTCAGCAGTGATCCTGCTTGAACATGAGCAGAGTACAGTCTGATTGGGTTTTTTTGGTGCTCAAATTCAATTGTCAGTATCCTGCAAAAACATGCATGAGATAGGTTGTATGGCTAACCTCCAAACCTGGCTTTGTGTGATACTTCAATTCAGAAAAAGTGGGAGATATAAGGAAATTTGACATAGATTTTGTGAATATCAACCGCTTGCATAAGATGAACTTATTTTCTCCTTTCTGTATTGGTGATTTATTCTCTTGTTACAAATGAGGCCCTGAAGAAATATGCACGATGCAAAAATTAATGCAGAAAATATATTCACCTTTATGAATCTGTAGCATAACAGGCTCCTAACTATAAATCCTCTGTTTGTGTCTGTGGTGATTTCTGTTGGAATGCATCTCTTTCAGATTGGCCCCTTGACATTTAAAATGACATTTTAGCCTGGCCCTGTATAAGCTTCCTTTTTATTAACTTTAACCATGCAGCTCTTGTTTCTCTCTTTTCTAGATAGAGGAGCGAGCAGAATTTTTGAATAAATCCGCTCAGAAGAGGTAAATCAATACAACAATAAATTCAGTCAAAACAGCAATGTTCAATTGGAGGGATTAATAATTTGTTTCTTTTTTCTACTTCTGTAGTGGTATGAAACCCACCCATACAACTGCAGTTGTCTCAAAAATTGACAGTAGACTTGAGCAATACACTAGTGCAATTGAGGTAAGTTAATTCCAGGTCTTGATGGCTCTAGTTACTAATGGCTTTTGGGACTTTAATCAGCCTATGTTTTACTGTTCAAGAACTGCAGGCATTTTTGGTCACAAGCCCTTTTTCAATGTGAGTTCAAGAACAAGATGCTTGAGGCACACCTATAACATGGAGATATATATCTAAACAAAACCTCAGATTCCTGTCTTCATGCTATAATTTACTCTGCTTTGTAAGCTTGGAGTAGCTTTTGAAGGACTCAGTCAGCATCTCTTGAGTGACAGGTACATCCTCTTTTTAACTGCTGAGAGTACTATCAGCAGAGAGTTGATAGTCATCCTGAGCAAAGCTGACTTAGCAGCTTATTTAGGAGAGCAATGAATTGGGCCTGTGTTGCTGGCTGCCACTTCAGAGTGAAATTCCTTGGCAAAGAAAGACACCTCAGTGAACTAGGTATTTAAGTAGTGACAAAGGAAAAACAGAATCAGAATAAAATGCTGATTTTGACCCCTGGTGATTTTGACAATTAGTGGCTAACAATGTGCCTTGAAGCCAGAATTGAGGGATTTTCCTTTCATAGTCCAAGGAAAAATAGATGTTTGCTTTTTTGTTTTAAACTGTTTTCATAAAGCAGTGAGTATAGGCAATATGGAAGCTACTAGTAGCTACTAGTAGCCCAGTCCCCCACTCTTAAAAAAAACCACCTCATTCAAAATATACTGCAATGGCTGAAATTTACCCCTAGAATAGTGAGTTGTGAGGTTAAGTTGTCTGTGACAGAAGAATCAGAGTCTGATGCTGAATGACAGAGCAGCCTTTTTCCCCTGCCTGTGCATAAGGATTTCCTTAACTGTGTCCCTGAAAGAGCCATGAACACAGAATTCAAGTGCTAAGACTTAAAAGAGGACAAATGAAAGCCTTGGATCAGTTGTGTGCTGAGCTGTGGTTTGCAATGAACCTTAGGAAGGCAACAGATGCAAAAATCGAATCGGTTGCAGTTTTCGTAGCTGGTCATGTCAAGGGTGTAACTGCAAATCAAACTGGGGAGAGTCTCAGTAGCATCTCTTGAGCTGGGTACTCCTTCCCATCTTTACATGATTGTTGTTAGAACCATTTATAGCTGTTGCATTCCCCAGCACTGCCCCAGAGTCAAACCACCCTGCAACTCCAGCTCTTAATATCAGACATCAACTGGCCTTAATTCTTCTGCAGGGCACAAAGGCTGCAAGACCAGTTAAGCCAGCAGCCTCTGACCTTCCAGTTCCAGCTGAGGGTGTCCGTAATATCAAGAGCATGTGGGAGAAAGGGAATGTTTTTTCATCACCCTCTGGAACAGGAACACCAAATAAGGTATGTGTTTCATTTTACATAGTGATTATAAAGAATTGTGTTATGGACCTGACCTTGTCATTCATGTTCCTATGCATAAGCCTGGCTGCTCCTGTCGATATCACTGGTGAAGAATATCCCGAAGGATCCTGAGGTCCTCAGAAACCCACAAAATTATGTGGCTGCAATATTGAATATAAAAGAAGAATTTAGTGACATACTGAGCTAACTTATGAGACATTCCAGAGCCACATCAGATGTCTTAGACAGATATATCTGAGTAGTTCAAGTGGAGTACAAAGAAATTCTTTGTGTTAGGAAACATTCTTTTGGGGGGCAGAGGAGGATTAAATAGACAAGATAATGATGATGTTTTATAAATAATGCATAGAAGCATTTGTGAGACCTTTATCTTTTCTATGTAAATTCCTAAGGCAACATTTCCTTTCTATAAATTTATGTGAGTTGATAAACATTCATCATAGGCAAAGAACTGAGCCATGGATTGAAGGGGGTTATTACAGATAGCCGTGAAATTTCAGTAATTTGTACTAACCTTTTAAAGTTTTATTTTAATGATTTAAATTTTAGGCCACTTGACTCTTCAAGTATGTGTGTTATTTTTGGTTTAAAAAAATTAGTTTAGCAAAATAAAAATAAACTTAGACTGGTGTTATTCTTTTAGGCTAACTATTTTTTGTCCTTGGAGTTAGGGGTTATGACAGAAACAGCAGGTTTATGTCTAATGTTTATTCCTGGGTTAGCACTAAAGTGGAAATAATTCTGTCAGCCTACATTTATCATTACTGAAAACTAGCGGGTAATAGTACTGTGTAGTTCATAGGGACAATATCTTCAGAGCACACAGGATGACACTTAGCTAGCCATAGTCTCAGTGAGGACCTCTATGTTAAACTCAGGGTTGGCTTTGTTTTTAAATCTAAGCTGTGGAAAACATAGCAGAAGCTATTCTGAAAGTCTTCTCATCAGATTTTATTATTTTGCAGGAAACCGCTGGACTGAAGGTTGGTGTCTCCAGTCGTATCAATGAGTGGTTAACCAAGACCCCTGAGAGCAACAAATCACCTTCTCCAAAACCTTCTGTAAGTAAACTTGCAACAACAATCTCTTCAGTAGGTGGGTTCTCTGCTGGGGCAGAGGTGGTGATGGTGCTTCCTCAACCAGCTGGTGGTCTTTTTAGGAACTTTGCTGCACATCCTCTCTTGGAAGTTCACAGAGGCCCTCCGGCTGCTGACTCCTGGGTAGTCAGAAAAGTGGGAGATGAAACAGGGCAGTTCTCACCTTAAAGCTTAGAGGTGCTCTAAAAAGACCTCTTTTAGCACTTCTCTGGTAGAGAAAGACATTAATCTACCACCTGTGAAAGGCCCACCATTAATTCAGAAATTACCAGCCATACCCCTTGGGTGAAACACTTGTGCATTGGCCCTTGTCTGTAAAAATCTTCCAACTATATTTTTAAACACAGTACTTTAATCCTTAGAACCTAAATGTGGTTTCTAATGAAGAGCTTTTAGCATGCCTGTTACTTTAGCAAGAATCAAAGCAGAAAATGTTATCGATGCTGGGAGTGTGGGAAGCAGCAGTGTGGATGTGGAAAGGAGAAGAAACAGGTAATTGTGAGAATTGGAATGGAAGTGTGGGGATGAGGAACTGGAGCTGTAGATACCCACACTGGAGAATGGCAAGTTAATGATTCAACTTTGGGATTTAATTCAAGAACTGGTTTCTTCCCCATATCTGTGTGTAGCATTTTTCTGTGAGTTCACTTGCATTTTATAAAAGGTGCAGCCTGAAAAACTCTTGCTTAATTCACATGCCTCTTTGTTCCAAAGGGGAGCTTGAGATTTGCAGCACTCTTCCTAATGTCAGTAAATACCGGTAGGTACATGGAGAATGTGTCCTTATGGACGTGAATATAAAAACAGAAGAAGTCATTGTGGTCACTGTATTTAATCACTGCCACTGAAAAACAGCACAGAATCTGCCTCCAGATTTTCCTCTCTTTCAAGTTACTTCTTTTAGATAATGTAAAACTAACCACTTGCTTTCCCCTCAGCCAACTGTGTCTGTCTATGTCTTCATTTCCCTCTTTCTCAATAGATTGTTCTCTCTTCTTTCAATATCTCTGCTTGAAGGAACCTGCCCTCCTCCTATTCTTCTTTGAGGGTCTGTTTGCTAAGTTGGTCAGGTAAATCTCTTTATAATTGACAAGAATGATATACATCTATGATGTGAATTTTACTATTTATTTTTTTTTTATAAACTAAGATAAATCAAATGGAAACCTAGAATTTCTTAGTTAGCAAATAAATTCCTACTCCACCACATTCCACCAAAATAAAGAATTGTGTGAAGCTTTTGTGACCATAAAGTTTCTTGGGGGTTTTGGAACAACATTCAATTAAAAGTAGAGGGAGCAAAGTTCTCGATTAGTTTTATGGTGAACCTATATCACAGATGCCAAATTATTTCAGGATTATGGAATTGTCAAATGCAATTTTGTTGGTTTATTTCTCCCTCTGTTACTGCTGAACTCGTCCTTTTGAAATACAATATTGGCTTAAAGTCTTAACAATCAGCAATCCTCTTTGGCTGTACATTATGATCAAGTCTAGAGCGTCTATGTTGGTTGCAAGGACCTCTGCAGAAATTCCATTTCCATTCATCACTGGGCATTTTCTATCCCAAGTTAGAAATTCTTACGTGCAGAAAACTACCTATTGATGGATGGCAAAACCAAGATTTGGAAACTGCGCAGGACTTGAATGCTTTTTGAAAATGAGAGTACTCATGTCAAAAATTGTTTCAAGTCTTTTGTTTGCTGACCACAGAGGTAGATACCAGCCCAACTGTCCTTTAGCAGATGCATTGCTACTAGCCTAGCATATAGCATCTTGATTTGTAGCCATGCTGTTCCTCAAGCAGCTTGACATTTCTATCAAGTTTTGGTTAAAGTCTCCATATACACTAATTTTCAGAGACTATTACTATGTATTAATGGCTTTAATTCACCTGCTTTTTTTTCTGTTGGGCTAATGATTGGTACATGCTAAGGTTTTAAAGGATATAATATAAATTCAAATAGATATCAAGGACTAAAGCGTTAAATCCTGAAGCCTGTATTTAAGAATGCAAGGGAGAATCTGCTTTTCTGTGGTATTAGAAGTCCTACAATATTGGGTTTCACGGGTTTTTTTATGAAGTGTTTTGTTTCTGATCTAAAACAATGAGGCAAGCTTCTTTTGAATTCCTCCCTGATATAAATGCTATTTATGTAATTATTCCACCCCCACCCCACCCCC